AAACGCCAACAACATTCAAAGGAAGATAAAAAAATATAATCGTAGTTTGGAGGTTCGACGCAAACCCTGAGTGGCGCTGCGCACCTAACTTTTCCACTTTCTGCCTAACCAAGGAATAATTATGTGAATATTAACGAATTTTTGTGCATTCTAGAGGATGTAAACAAATACTTTTAAGACACTTTAAACGGTCCGCGAAAATTGGTTTCTCAACGTACCGCGCTGTAATTTACTAAAGAGGTTTAAGCAAGCAATAAAAGTTTACAGCAAAAAAAAAAAAAAAAAAAAAAAAAGAAAATCAGGAAATGAATTTGCCTTGTTTAAAAAGCAACAACAACAAAAACTTCATCCTGTTTTGGGCAGTCTATGCCACTATACTTCGCAGACGATGCGCGTATAGTGGGAAGTGCGACCGACAGATGGCGTACGCCACGTCAACGGAGCGCCGGCCGATGCAGGTTCTTTTGCGGAATTGGCCGACAGTCTCACGACGTGGCGTACGCCATCTGTCGGCAGCACTTCTCACTACCCGTGCATCGACTCCGAAGTTGCGGCGTAGATTGCCCAGAACAGTTTTTTTTTTTTTCTTCCTTTGAACGTGTTAAGTTAATTCCTCGATTATTTTTTTTTTTTTCACTGTAAACTTCTATCACCTGTTTTCATCTCTGTAAATAATCTCAGCGCCACACTTCGAGAAGCAGATTTTTGCGGGCCGTCTATAAAGTGCCTCGAAAGCCCTTAGTTTACATGCTGTAGTTTGGAGGTTCGCCACAAACCCCGAGTGGCGCTGCGCACATCTAACTTTTCCACCTTACGTCGAATCAAGGAATGGTCCTGCGAGTGCTAACGACTGTTTTGTGCATTTCATATTGCTTACAAATGATTCGAGGTTCGCAGGGTCACTGATATCTTAGGAAACACGGCACGTGACGAGCACCGATCACCTTATTATCGCTCCAGCTAATGGACCATTTGCGGGTAAGAATGTCATAAAAAAAAGCACGAAGTAAGATGTCAGTAACCAGAGTCCTGCGAAAGCTTGGGGGTAAGGCAGTGACACCGATAATTACGACTGGGGTTATATGTTATTAGAACAATTGTGTCTGCTTCTTTTCTTCCCTTTCTTGAGCCAGAGATAAAAAAGATGATGCCCTTACGACAAGAGCAGTATATGATACGATACGGGTACTCGCGTTGGAAAGAAACTACTACGCCAAAACGCAGTACACTGGGCCAATTCAGGGTATTATATGGGGCTTTAAGACATTGTGGAAAACTTAGCTATATTTATTTGTGAAGACGGCGGTTCTTTACGACACTTACACACCAAAAACCAGCGGAAACATCGAGGCTTTTTTGGTGAGTAGGGACTGACAACTTCGCTGAGCAGAAGTGCGTATTTTCAAGATGTCCCGCGTTTTTGCGGTACAACGTCGGCCGCTGCCGCTTTAAAGTGATTTCTCAACGCGTGACTCAAGAACTGGTTGCTTCGTTTTCGTAATCGGAAGCAAGTGCCAACAATGTCTAATGCTATCCTTTCCCATTCAAAGAAAAATAGTTAATTATTTTGTGGAATATCGAAAAGTGCAACTTTTTCAGATCGCACACTCTGATTCATTCCTGTCTAGTTTCGTGCGACCTTGGAAGTTTTGATGATTTCAGAAACGTCTCGCATTTCTGAACTTCGTTTTGAGCCCCCAATTTGTTTTGTTTTGTAGGAAAATAAAACAGATATAGAGTACGCGAACCAAGACATATACTGTTCTGTTTATATCATTTCACTAACAAGAAAATATGTGTTTCGATGGCGTTTCGAGAGACCTGTCGTCGAGCCTTCCGAATTTTGCGAGATCTCCAACTTTGATTGCTGAGACACTCCGTCAAGAGCAAATTCGAGCCTTTTCGAAATCCGTTAGATCTCACACACCACTGAGGCCAGCAAGTCGTCTGCTTCTTGCTCAGGGGTTGCGGTGACGTCATAACGACGCCGAGTTCTGATTGGCTTAGATCGGAAGGACAGTGGGTAGACCTCAATGTTAGATGCCTTGGCGTCTACCCACTATTTTTTCAATCAGCCAATAAGAGCTCGGCGTTTTGACATCATCGCAACCCCTGCGCAAAGGAGCAGACGAACGTGCGCTCCGCGTAGCTGAGATAATTCCGTCAAGAGCGTTTGCTTCGCCTTCGGTCACGGACACGCCCGGCGGTTTTCCGTCTGTCAGTCGCAATATAGATCAGCGTCTGCTGCGTTTTATGGGCGCCGCCATGTTCGTTCATGCTAACGCCATGACACAGTGGGGGCTGCGCGTTTTTTGCGTCTGATGCGACTGCCCGACCGAATCAATGACGACGGGCGCCAAAACGTGCATCGTCACGGTCGGTCGCCGTCGTCTTTGTGCGTTTTGCTATCACCGGTTGAATCGATCACGCACAGTGAAAAAGGCCCCGTGATTCTCTGTTTTGCTGTTGTCCGCGCGCGCGTAATTGATTAAGCCGGTGATAGTCACCGATCGAATATGACAAGCGGCGCCTAACGGTGCACTTCCTACTAAGCTGCTGTATTGGCGACTTTAGATAGCAGGCAGCGTGAATGTGAAACGGAGTATGTAGATCTTTGCATCGCTCATCGACCGGGCGAAAAATGCTGACTCAATGAGCTGTGGACCAAGGCGCAGCGTCTGATATGCCGCACAACAGAGCTACAGCGCATGCTCAGGAGGCATTCCACAGCCCAAAAGACAGAGAGGGCGGCACACAGAAGGTGATTTTTTTTTTCAATGATCGTCATGCTTTAAAGAGCTAATTCAGGAGCTACAGATTCGTGTACCTAAAGCTTTGTTCAGTTTTCTTTTAACGCAAAACTTTTTTTGGCCAGTTGCTCCAGATTCCGCGAAGCCGTGGCCTCTGACATCCCATAATGCAACGCGCGCAGGGTTGCATCACGGGACGTCACGGACCTGCGCACCGATTCAGTTTCTCCACCAAATTTAACGGGGAAGTTGAATTGGTAAATAGGTCACATGACGTTAATTTCCGCCCTATATTTAGCGGTAAAGTTAACCTCCCGACACCTGCGTACCAATTCAGTTTCCCCGCTAAACTTAGAGGGAAAAATTGATGTCACTTGACCTGTTGTCACGTGATGCTAGTACGTTTCGCGTATGCAAGAAAATTGCCCTACAATTTGCCCTACGAGTTGTTACGTTCTCTGTCCGGGTGAAGCTCTCTTTTCACTGCGCTAACCGTCCGCGAAGGAAGGCGATCAAAGCGTTGTGTTTCACCCTGGGGCGCATTTTGAAGTCGCGTTTGCGAAACCGTTTTCTTTTAGAAGTACCGCAGATGTTTTCCTCCCTTGCCTTTGTTTGAGTGTGGTGGGTGTCTGTAGTTCGGCGGCTCGTTAGGCGAGAATCAATACTTTTCTTTCTTTGTTTGCTTCGAAGACATTTTTTTAGCTGTTGAAGTGAAGTTTGAGACGCTTTGTTTGAAGTTCGCTGATTTTGCTGCGCCGCGGGTCTGATATGAAAACGTGAAGGTATGTTATCATCTGAGTAAGGTTATTCGTAGTTTCTGTGATTCCGGAACGGTCTTAATGAACCGTTCTCGAGAGAAAACAACATTGGAAAACAAAATACGCTTGAGGTGGCAGGACGAGGACTGCGAGCGAGTTGGTGGATTCGTGTTCTTATGTAAGGGTAAAATGATAAAATGTCCAATTAGCATAAAACTATTTTTGAGGCTCCGAAAGCGTGAAAGTTAAAAAGGAATCGAATGCAAATATTTTTAGTCTCTGTTTTGCTATAGTGTACCGCATCAAAATATTCGCGAGTTTTTTTTTTAAATATATTAAAATATAGCGGGTTTATTTCTTCAGTTGTACTTTTAAAATGCATTTAACACGCCAACGATCATTGTCGTCGCAGAAGCAATTAAACTGTACACGAAGTCCGGAAAGTTTTTAAAGGGACTGGACGTGAACCTGGTCTGATACCCGGGTGTGTAAAAACTAATTTAAAATCTTAAAAAAACTTAAATTGCCACCAGAACAAAATAATAAATATTCGAAATTTAAACCGCTATCCAAAAATACACCGTTGCAATCATCCGTCCGCTGAACTTTTAAATATAAGCATCTCCGCGTCTAGTGTACGATAGTTTTAGAAACATATAATTTAGAATGGTGCGCGGACGGCCAATGATTGCGGAATAAATAGTTGCGATGTTAACTTACGTCTCCAAAAATGACAGAACCTGCACCCGAAAGTGTATGCCGGCTTAAAAAGGACTTGTAAACATGTTCTTTGTGGTGTCGTTTGCACTTGACAGAAACCAGGTGACGATAGCTGTTTTTGATTGAACAGACATCCTGGCGCTGATGCTGTAAAGTATAATAAAATGAGTTTGATAGATAAACACACAAAAATCTCTCTGTCTAAATAAACCTATTTAAAAAAAAAAAAAAACAACGACGACGAATATAAGAATGAATGGATATAGCTGAATCTTTTGAATAGGGCTGTGGCTCGCGCCACCTGGCGAATGTGTAATTTTTACATTAACGTGTGAATGACTGAATTGCGAATGTGAACCACCCTTTCACTGCTGTCAACTTCACGGGGCGGAGGTAGCGGAGGGAGTACAGATTCGTATTAGGGGCAGAAAGATGACCATTTGGAATTTGGCGGCGGCTCGCGCCATCTAGTGAGTGTTTCATGTGAACCGTTAATGCACAAACTATTGAACAGAGAATGTGAACTCCACCTTCTTCAGTGATGTCGAAAGAAAAAGCGGGCGTTCATTCGCGGCGCGGGTGGATGGGGTACAACTCCGTACACGGGGCAGACGAATAAACATTTTGAATTGGGTGGCGCCTGGCGCCACCTAGTGAGTGTTGAATTTCGACCGTTAACGAGAGACGACCGGAGAGCGAATGTGGCCCCCCCTTTTTTAGTGGTGTCGCACTTTCAGTGTTGTCGACAGGCGGGCACGGCACAGCTCCGTACCTGGGGCAGATGTCGCATCCCTGTTGCATGAAAGCGCCCAGGGAGAACCAGAGACTGTTGTAGAGCGAGAAGTCGTTGGACACAGACGGCCCGACGAAGGTCTCCTCGTAGCGCCACTCGCGGGGCGAGAAGCGGCTCACGAGGAACAGGACCACCGAGACGCCCACGTAGGCGAAGATGATGCACATCCAGATCTCGCGAGACAGCGGGTTCATGAAGGAGAACACGCCGGGCTTCTTCTTCATCGGCTTCTTGATCATGATGCTGATGCCCAGGGACATGAAGGGCTTCGTGAAGTCGATCACGCGCTCCCGGGCGGAGGTGATGGTCAGCGGGGCGATGGCCATGTTTGCCTCCTGCGTGTTTAAAGGAGCGATGCAACAATTTTCGTACTTTGCGCAAACACCGCTTAAAACAGATCCCCGACATTAATGACCTATGAAACACGCGTTCGTTTTTCACTTCACGCAATAGAAGTCCCAGAAAAAAAATTAAAGGAAAACGAGCAGTGTTCACCCCCTCATCTCGCAGCCAGAGCATGCGGCCACGCGATCTGGAGCCGATTACATGCCGCCAATGTTGATCATAGTCACGCGCTGGGGTTGGCAAAGCACAGGACACGCGCTGAGTTCCAGACATTGTTATGGCTCGGCTCACTGTCGTCGTTGCAGCGATTGGACACGGGCCACTACCCGAATGCCTCTCGAGCTAGTAATTATTACGAGCCCAAATCAAGTGCCCACGCAATGCTCAGGTCCAATCTATGAACCGCATTCAAATATCGTCACTTGGGAATACTTCAATCCCCACGTTACGTAATCAAATTTTGCAAAGGAGAGATTGAAGGAAAACGCTCGCTTTTGTCCTTGAAATTATACCGCAACAAAAGAGTTTCTTGGCCAGTGGCGTTGCGTGCGAGTATCCTTGAGTCCCACTAGTGCCAGTAAGCTCGTGCAAAGTGAAAAAAAAAAAAACATTTCAATTGAATGTCGTTGCACCGCTCCTTTAAAGGCGTTAGAAAACAAAAATTTTATTTTGTTTTTGAAGTTATTATCGTGCACTGAAAACGTAAGAAACGTAGGGTGTGGTGAGTCTCGAGCAGCCTATGGACGCTTTTCAGCAGCTGTGCATGGGCGTCGCCATAACTGATTTTCAGTTTTTGTTTCCTCTTATTGAATTTTCTTCACTTCATCATTACCATAGCGGGCCAGGCTATGGCCAGCTTAAATTCTGTTGCGTCCTTCTACTTAGCATTGGCCTTTCTAGAGGCTCGTCAACAACCGTTTCAGTCGCTCGGTATCTCCATAAGACAAAAGAAGGTCAGCAATGGCAGCTGTAATCTGGCGCGTGTGTAAAGCGTCTATACATCGATCCGCAGAAAACTAGATTGTGGCATCGCCAAGTAAGGACGCCCAAGATCAAATAGACCTTTTGTTAAAGGGATTTTGCGGTAAATCTTCGTGTTTCAAAAAACAACTAAATTTAATTTTCACTACTTTTAGGACTGTCTTCCGCACAATATCCGAATTTTTAAACCTCCTACGCACAAGAAATTCGAAATTAAACAGAGCCCTACTGCTCAGACTTTACCCTCAAACACACGGCGTTTTTGTTGGCAACGGCGGAAGCTCTGATGTAACACTTCATGCAAAGAGAGCCACGACAGCTCATGACTGCTGTCTTTTTAAAACAACCACATTCTGAGAAAGACACGATTTACGGCATTGGAGGGAAGCTCAGTTATGCAACGATAATCTTTGTACGCGCCATCAACCACGTTGACCAATATCGGGAGTAAGTCAATTCCCGCGACTCTGGGGTTACTATGCCTGATGGGATGTCACGGCCCGAACAGCCATGCATATTTGCGAAATTCGGCATGGAGTTGCGTGCTGATGTTCGTAATTGATTTAGCAAATATTGAGACGCTTTGAAATGAAATAAACACCACATCTGACAATACTTCTGCCTACTCTGCGTTACCAACGCAAAAAAAAAAAAAAGATCGTAATTTTTGAATATTATTGGGCAATCGCTTTAAATTATTCAAGCATCAAGGAGCATGCTGCGATCGTAGTGACACGCGCTGCACGTGCTGGCGTCTGAAGTGAAATTGTCCCAAATGCGAAACCCATAAGACAGATTTTATCTCGCACGCGCGTTTGTAAACGCCTTATTTTGGTTATCTACTTCGAACCTTTTATACTCAGAAAGCGAGCGCGTGTTGCACGGAAACCTAAATTCTTAGCATTCTCCTTAAAACTCGTTTAAACACATGCGCTTGAATGCGTTGCGTTGAGGAGTTAGTGCGAAGTCTGTGCTCCGTAGGTCGAGTTGCAAGCTACTTCTGCAGTTGGTTGTCACGCTTCGTTCAGAGCACAAATATCTCATTGACTCGCGGTCGTTTCTCGACGCACACCTCCGCAACGCAGTGAAACGCAGCTGTCTGCACCAGGCTTAATGCTTGAATAATGTAGCAGAAGTTATATTACGAAGCAAGGGGGGGGGGGGGGGGGGGGATTCGTGGCCGAGTCTGTTTGCGCGCCGCAGCCCGGAGCCCGTGGAGCGAAAGCTCGCGCTGCGGAACCCAGGTTTCCACGATTCGATCCCCACACCTTCCCGTTTCGACCTGGATGAGCATCGTACCGGCCTGCGGTCGTCTGTGACTAGTGATTGCTGCACGTTAAAGACCCTAGGCTAGCGGTTCTACTGCACTGGCAAAATTTTTCATTTACAACTGAGACACCAGACGGCCATTGGGGCTGACTGACTTCCGGCTGTATAAACATATACATCCAACACAATTACTGTACAAAGCAAAAAGCGTGAACCTAAAGATAAAACACGTCTTGCGTGTTTATGAATGCCATTTTCCTAAAGCATAAAATGCTTTTTCGCTGTATTGGCAACGTGCTTGACTAACAGCGTCGCCGTGGTCGGCATTTGCGATTCGCCAAACATTTACTATGACGTCTTTATTTGTATTAATATTGAATTCATCAACGGAAATAAGAACATTTCAGGCTGTCAAATTTGACGGCGTGGTTTGAGAACGTGACGATTCTAAGCTTCTGTCGTTCATTTTACACACACCATCGAAGGTGTGGTTCGCAGCTGAGGCCCCACAGCGGCCATCTTGAAGAGGCTTAAAATTTGAACCCCAGATGGCAACACCGACCCATGTGGCCCCTTATATCCTACTGGCGACGTGCGCGATCGAAAGCATCGTTGTGGTCGGCATGCCACGATTGGCCGAATGCTGAATATGACGTCAGCAAAGGGTTTTTGATCGACGGAAACAAGAGGGTTGTATGGACTTCAATTTTGACGGTGCTGGCAATGCTGGTTTCAGAGGGCTATGATTTTAAGCTTCCAACATGATAATTACAAACACCATCGAACTTGTTGTTCGCTAGGTCATGACGTCAATAAGGAAACCAAGAGAGGGCGCCACCGTAATATCTCGCCGCTAACTTGTTTATACTTATAACTTATACCGTTTGTACGTAGTTTAGACGGCTCTAGTGTGGCCGAGAAACTGGTATGGCTCGTGGTACCGATTGTTACGCCTAATCCCCTTTGCACCTTGCACGTTCACCGCATGTGCTGGCCCGCGTCACGCGGTGCCGGGCCCGCCCAGTTTGCTCGGCTGCTAAGCAAAAGGAACGAGCTAGCCCAGCCAGCTCATCTATCGGAAGATGTCAAGATGGGTAGTCTCTGCAATGGGCTCCTGATCCGCGGTGCAGTAATTTCTACATAATTTTGTGCACGACATCATGAAGTGAGAAAAAAATTTTGAGGCTTGACTTGTTAATTTTATTTTTGTCAATTATTAAAAAAAAAATAAAATAAAAAAAAGCTTTCTCCATTTATACGTTTAAGAGGCTTTCTCTTTCAAGACACAGGTTGACGAGGGCGTCGGCCAGAAAGTTAGCGACGCCTGGTGATTGATTTGTCTGATCAATGTGATAAAAAAAATTTAAAAGCGGCTGGATGTTAAAGAGAACTGTTTCAATGAACAAAAAGTTTGGACTCAAACTAGCTGGTGATCATTGAACATATGTTGAAACAAAACCTCAAGACTGGTGAAAAAATCGGACGACATTGCAGTGTTGTCCTTCGTTTTTGTTTCGTTTTTTATCGGTCGGAATTTTGTCTTAAAATACTGTTTCGCAGGAAGGCACTGCATATATATATTTTTTGAATTAAAGTGCTTAGATGAAATCTTTGCCTACACAGAACGGTATTTCTTGAGGTGCCGACTATCCTCCGGTCATCCTTAAGCTGAGATTAGAAGCTCCGGCTTCAGCGCGAGATCGCTGGCTTCCGCAGTGCTTTGGTGGCGCGTGCTTGCGCGTTCACACTTGGGCTGGCAAGGGCAGAAAGCTCACGCGGAAGGCCTAGCTTCTAGTCTCAGCTGAACGGTAAACGGAGCATGAGTTAGGCTGATTAGATCGTTCTGATAACTATAGCCGATACTTCGCCGTGCCTTTGTGCATGCATACGATATCGCTATCAAAGTGTAAAAAAATATCTGGGTGCTTTCATCCCATTCGGGCACGGTTTTGGGGTCGGTATGTTGATTTTTACATAAATATATACTTTTTGGGTCCATTCTTGAAATGAAAGAGAACGTAAACGGCAAGCTTGGCAGATATATTTTTTTGTTTGTTTTAAAGTTATTTACCACTGAAGCGGCCGATGCCAGAACTCACGTATCCAGTCGGGGGTCGTAAGTTTGACCGCTCGCTGTTTTGTCGCTTCTCAAGCAATTGTACTAGGACCCTTCTTCGACACTTTCAAATGATATTTTATTACGGTAAATAAAAAGAAAAAAAATCTTGTATTTTAATATAATAAAACAAAATGTCTGACAATCTCCCGTTAATGATTTTAAGGTTTATCCAGTTCTTACGTCATGCCTATTCAAGATAGTTTAATGACCTTGATATGAATGGAAAGCTCAAGTATTAAATATATCATATGTACGAGTTAAAATCTCTTTAATACATTTGCTTTATTTTTTTATCAATACCAAGGTATGATCGTGATCTTTCGTAATACGTAAATAAAATATAAAGCATTTTGTGTATATAACCTGAAATCGAGCTTGAATCTCTTTGAATGTGCGATGGAAAACAGCAAGCTTTGTTGCGGAATAAACAAAACTTTTAGTTCGCATTGCACACTATTTCAGGTGCTTTCAAGCTTCCGTGTCAAGTATTGATTTGAGGTAATTATCCATATTAAGGCCACAATATTGTCCAGAATATCACCTATGCGAGGACGTTATCACAACGCACTGCTCATAAGTTTCGGGTTTCAAACAAAATACTATATTTTTATTTTTACTTTT